TTGCTCCTTTTCACTATTGGTTTTCTGCCTTTGACTATTCATTGTCTCTATTGCCAGAGCACCTCAGACACCCCCCCCTTCCTAGACCAGAACCCCATTGTGCCAGGCGCTGGTGAAACCCCAAACAAACAGCCAGTCCCTGCTCCCATTATTCTCCCTCCACGCTCACGTCATGCCCAGGATCTCGGTGTCGGTGGCTGGGTTCGGCAGCAGCCTCTAGCTCTGGTCTCCTCTCTGTGCTCCCAGCCCCAGTGTGACCCTTCTCCTGCGCTCTCTGTTGCAGGGTCTGGACCTGTTGGTGCGAGATTGGCAGCTCTCCGAAGCCTACGGCGCAGAAGCGGGACAGGAGTATCTCAAAGACATCACACAGGTAATGACCAAAGCCGGGCACCACGTGTGTTCATGGAAACAACAAACTCCGGCTGTGGGGCGGAGCTGAACGTTTCCATGGTGGGTCTGATTTCTCGCTGATGGTCACAAATGTCGGTTTAACTCCCGCAGGACCTGGAAGACTCTTCTGAGCAGCCCCTGGTGTTGGGAGCCCTGAGGGCGAGAGGGACCTGGTGCTTCCTACTGCCCCACCCTGGCACTGGGTTCACCAAGAGCAGGGCAGGGACGCCAGGTGGTAAGAGACCCCTCTTCCCCCTGGGTTACACCCCCAGCCTCCCTCTCCCCTCTTCTGCACTGCCCCTACCCACATCCCTGCCCCATCTTCCCCTCCTGCCCTGCCCCCACCCCATAATCCCAGTGCCCAGCTCACTCTCCTTGGCTTAGAATGGGCTCTCCTGCCCAATGCACAGGGGCTGTCACTAGGTCACGGGATCTGTGCGGGAAGGGAGGGGGACATGAGGGGACACTGCTGGGGTCCTGGTCTCCTGTGGGGGACACAGCTGGTTCCCTCCTCTTAATAGGTCCCCTGTCACCCCCCCACACACACTGCAGCCTCTCCCTGTTACTCACCCCCACCCCCACTGCTCCCCCATTTTCCCCCTGGCAGTGGGGTGTGGGAGGGAGCTAAGCAGCTGTTGCCCAGAGATGGAATCTCATTTACTGTGGCACAAACCTGCCCTCTACATCCCCCATTTAACTTGTGTCCTGTCCTGGGCACCTGGATGCCTCCCGGATGCCTAGGTCCTTTCCCCCCTGCAGACATGGACGAGGATTTCCGGCAGTCCCTGTGTGACTATGTCACCAGCGTGGTGCGCTCAGCAGGGACACACGTCCGGACGGACCGAGCCGGGCAGGTGCTGACGGGGGCTCAGCTGGCTGCCAGGATCAAGGTGGGAGAGTGGGGTCTGCTAAAAGGGGGGGCCTGGATGGGAGACAGCAAAAGGGGCCGCAAGGAGGTGAGCCGAGACTCAGAAATGGGTGCCGTGCTGCAGGGTGTGGGCTCAGCAGGGGGTGCCATGCAGGACGGAGTGGTCAGGGGGACCAGTGGGGGCGCTGTGCTGCAGGGAGTGGGGAGGGGAACACAGTAGGGGGCGCTGTGCTGGAGGGAGCGGGGTGGGGGGCTCGCCAAGGAGTGGGCTGAGCTGTCCCTGATCCCAGTTCCCCCGGGCATTATTCCCCACAGGACGTCTTCCGATACTTGAAGACCCAACGCTACGACTTCTCCTCCCCCGTGAAGGTTCCCGGGTTGCCCCTCCCTCAACCCCTCTGATTTGCAGGGGAGGGGGGCACTAGTTCTATTGACCCCTCACCCCAGGTCCTCCTCCCATTGGCCAATCGCACTAGGCCAGGAGGGGGGGCACCACAACAGCTGCCCCAACTGTCCTGATGGGGAACCTCCAGCTCCCAAGAAGTAAAGGGACCCCCAGGGAGCTGCACCAGAGAACTGGCCCTCTCTACTAGAGTGGCAGCAACGTGGCCATAGCTGTGGAGTCATTGGGGGGCTGCCTCCTGGCTCTGAGGGAATGTGGGGGGTTGGGGGCCAGTGGGGAGGTGAAAGCGGGGAGCAGGGTCCTGGAAGAATGGGGGGAGAAGGTGGTGAGGGGGGCTCCTAGTTCAGAGATGGTCCCATCCCAACCCCCACCCTGTCTCCTCTCCCCCCACAGATGGCTGAAGCATTTGCAGCGATGAGAAAGGAGAAAAACAGCAAAGCAGTAGAAGCCGCCAGGAGAGAATATGAACAATTTGTGCAGGAGCTGGTGAGTGCAGAGGGGCTGGGAGTCGGGAGTGAGGGGCACCGGCAGAGCTCGGGGGAGCAGGGCTGGGATAGCAGGGGTCTGTGGGTTGGAGGGGCTGCGGGTGTATGAGTCAGCGGCACCCCCTGTGGCTGGGTAACACTAATACCCATCCCTAATGGCCCATCTCTCCCCGCTTCGGGCAGGACCGTGGCCACCAGAATATAAACTGCTGCCTGAGGGTGAAGCCTGAGGAGATGAAGAGACGGATGGAGGGGAAACGCAGGGAGCTGCTGAAGCATTGCCAGGGGCAGCTGTGGGGCGAGGACCCCCAGAAACAGGCTGCCCTGAAGGTGCTGGAGCAGGGGCTGGCCGGGAAGACGTCCAAGTTCCTAACGGCCTACGGACAGCGCTTTAAAGAGAAGGCCGTGCGGTTGGGCCTGTACATTGGAGGGAGTGTCCTGGCTGTGGTGGGTGCGGGTGTTGTGGCGGGCATCAGCCCAAGTTTGGTGGTCAAGGTCGGAGCGGGGGGCCTTGTCCTGATCAGGAGGATGGTGGGAAGATGGGTGTGGGGCTAATTTGGTTTTAGAATACAACAGGCACCAACGCCCCAGGGCAGGGGGATGAGGGGCAGGGTCTTCAGATCAGGAGCCCCTGCTGCGGGGTGACAGATAGTGGGGAAGAACCATCACATCCCACCCCGTGCAAGACTCTGTCCCAGCCCTCAGCACTGGGAACCTCTGTATGCAAAGGATGGGGATAGATAGATAGATAGAGGGGGTCGATGGGGATAGATAGATTAGATAGATGGGGTGGATGGGGATATATAGATAGATTAGATAGATGGGGTGGATTGGGATAGATAGATAGATAGATAGAGGGGGGTAGATGGGGATAGATAGATAGATAGATAGATAGATAGATAGATAACCCTTCTGCCCTTCAGCATTAGCAGGAACAAGGGCCGGGTTCAGGATCTAGGGGTTCCGTTTCAATAACACAATGCAAAACCGGCTTCAGTCCCCACCCAGTGACCTGGGACAATTACATACCACCCCCCGGGCAATACTAACCCTCTCACAAGCACAGAGTCTGAGTGTAGCAAAAGCCTTTTAATAAAGGAGGGAAATAATGTGGCATTGTGTGGGGAAACACCACAGACAGGATTCATAACACAAACCATGAGCAAAAGACCTACCCCCAAGTAAGTTTGGAAGTGTCCTTTTCCCCTCAGGGTCTTAAGTCCAGCAACCCAACAGTCACCCGTCCCGCAGTTTCTGTCCTTGGTCAGTGCAGTTCTAGAGTTCAGAAGTTCATCTGCAGTGTTTACCTCCCAGCCTGAGTGGAAGGGGGTGGAGGTATGGGGGCACGTTACATGCTCCACTACTCAGGTCCACGGCTGATTGTCACGCCTCTCCATGGGGTTCTGCTGCAGTGTTCACCGCCAGCCACTCCTCTCCGCCAACTGTCCTGCTAGCCGCTCCTCTCCACCAGCCACTTGCCAAAATGTCTTCAGACTCCCCCTCCACTTAACACAGCTCTCTGTGATTTCAGCTGTTAGTAGGGGAGCCTCAGTGCTGGCACACTCAGAACCACTAGCTCAAAGTAGGACCAACCCTTAGACCTAGGAATCAGTAATCTCAGCTCTACAGTACATAACAAGACTCCTAACAGAATCAAAATTAATTCTGCTATTATACCATAGAGAGAGAGATCAAAATTCTGTTTCATGCCCTAGAAGAGACCCACAGACACACATCTATCCCCAGACTCTCTCAATTCACAGGGCTTTGGAACCCATGTCCCTTGCTTAGCGAGTACTACTTGGTTGAGGGCGAGTTCCTCCGTCATAAAATGTCAAGTACAGTTCTACTGTCCTTGATTCACATAACCAGGATAACAACACTTTAGTACTCCTGCCCCAATAGCAAAGAGACTGGGGGTCCCACAGTAGCCAAAGTGACCATTTGGGCAAGCAGGGTGGGTGTGCCCATGCAAACTAGATCAGCCCCTGAAGTTCTTTTCCACAACTCACCACCAGATGTCAGGGTAGAGCTCATTCTGACTGCTTATAGATAGACAGATAGATAGATAGATGGGGTGGATGGGGACAGATAGCTAGATTTATGGGAATAGATAGAAAGAACTTACAGCAGGTAGGTAGATTGCAAAAGGACACCGAGATTGATTGATTTGCAGTGGAGTCACCGAGATCAGAATCCAGCCCTGACCCCATTGATGTCAGTTGATAAATAACCCTGCCCTGGCCCCTGTGCTCTGAGCCGGCCCCTGCCTCCCTCCGCTGCAAGTTTCATTTGGTTTTCATTTTCAAAAACGGGGGCGGGGGGGGAATTGATTCTTATATTTTGCAATTGGGTTTTTTTCACATTTTCTTCCCACCTGAACAAGTGTGTGAAGTGGACAATTTTGGTCCCCCCCCCCGCCCCCATTTCCCACTGATTTGAAAAATGATACAAACGGAGGAGGGACGTTAGAAAACCCCAAATCCCCTTCCAACATTTTTCAGTTTATTCTTGGGGCTCCAGCGGGTGGAGGGCAGGGCCTCGGGCAGAAGGAGTGGGAGGAAGCAGGCTAGCCTCCCCAAAGGGCGGGGGTTCACTAGTCATCCATTTGACTGTGAGTCCTATGCTTAGATTTTACCAATCAAGTGCCAAGTATAAGCTCCTCAGCCACTGTAACAGCCTTAACACGGAGTCCCAGACAGTCCCCTCGGGTACTCCGATCTAACTGGTCATTGGGACGTTATTGACAGAGTCTGTAACCATATAGATCACTGTTGCAACCACTGTCATATATTTGCAGCAAATATTGTACAAAGGTTGTCATGTGAGCTCTCTATGGGAAGGTTATGATTGGCTGGTTATAATTATGCTATCTGTATGTGTGTATCATTTTTGTACTTGAAGTTATGAATGTTGGCTCTGTACTGTTTGTATTTCAAACCAATCCTGTAATAAACTATCTCAAATTATCTATTTATCTCTTATTAAATAAGAGTTAACTACACAGTTAAAGCAGGTAAATATAGACACATACAAATGAGTTACAGTCTTAAGTTTCAGGAAGATGTGGCCAGGAAGGGAGGGCCTGGTTCGGACTGAAGGCGGCTCAGAATGTGACAGGAAACAACGCCCCACGGTAGGTGGAAGAGGGGGAGGGTGGGGCAGGGCGTTTAGATCCGGAGCCCCTGCTGCAGGGCGCATGTAGTGGGAAAGAACCATCACCCCCCATCCCGGGCAAGAGTCCGTTCC